TTAGCACCAAGTCACAACAGAAGTCATCTCAGGGCACTGAACAGAAACATTCATATTCTTAAAAAGTAAGTTATTATTTATTTATTATTGTTTATCTGAGGAGCAGACTACTTGAAGTTTAACTCCATCACTGTCATCTCAAGTTTAACTCTCATCTTGAGCAAGCATGAAGGTGACAGTGGAAAGGAAAAACTCCCTGATGAGGAAGAAACCTTTAGCAGAACCAGGCTCAGGACAAGCGGTCATCTGCTTCGACTTGCTGGGTTTGAGAGGAACAAAAAAGAGGAACAGATACACAATGGCAGGTCCAGAATCACATGTTAAGATAGAAATAATATCAAATGCAAACTATTCATTTGTAACAATTCATTTTAAGAAATGAGGTCAACTTGTCCTCTAGTAGTCTAAGTCTATAGCAGCATAATAAGCCAACCCTAACTATAGGATTTATCAAAAAGCAAAGTCTTAAGCCCAGTCTTAATTCAATTCAATTCAATTCAAAAATATTTTATTAATCCCAAAGGGAAATTATTTTGTTGTTGTAACTCGTTATTCTCATTTCATTAAGAGATGTTATAGATGCTGATGGCTGTAGACAGGAAGGATCTCTTGTAAAGGTCCATCCCACAGTGGATCCTAAGAAACTGGCTGCAGATGCCGTCTGATCCGTCCACCCAGACTCAGCTGGCCTCTCGGTTCCTCTGGGCTGTAGGACCGCCTGAATGCCAGGCAGAACTCCTCCCAGAGCGATGGCCACTCCTCCCAGCAGTCTGCCGAGCTCCTTGTCGCTGCAGACAGCCAATTGTAGGTGCTGAGGGACGATCCTGTCCTTCCGCTATCATGAGCCGTGTTTCCTGCTAGTTCCAGGATCTCAGTGGTCAGGCACTCGAGCACAGCTGGCAGGTAGATGAGAATGCATCCACAGAACATCCTTTTCAACTCATTAAGATTTGGAGCTGTAGTTGAGATATTATTTGAGCCTTTGAGATGTTAATCAGCTGCTGTTGGTTGTAGAAAACTACCTTATTGCCATGGTTACAAATCATAACAAATGTCCAAAACTAAAAGTTTCAGTAAAAATCCTTCCAGCTGCACAGCATCTGATACCAGAGGAAACAATCATCCAAAAAATGTGATTTACATCCAGAAAAAGAGGAAATAAAGTTTCCAAAAGCAAAATCTCAGAATGAAAGTAAGAGAGCTGCTCCAACGTGCAGCCACCTTGAGCGGCGCAATTCTAGAATAACAAGCGTGTAGATGTTTAACAACCTGTTAAAATACACCAAAATACAGGAAATCACATCTACTTTAGTCAAAATTTTCTGGGGCAGGACCCCCAGACCCCACCCGGCCCACTTGCTATTAGTGTTCCAGCATCGATCTGTTTACAAATGAAGCCCTGTTACTTGCTCTGACTACTGCTGTTATGATTCTGTTCCGTTTTATGTAAAGTTTTCTGTAATAATTTGAAAAAGTTGATATACATTTATTATGTTCATTAAGCATAAATTTTGGAGGTTCATTAAGTGAATAGGTAAGTAATAAGTTTTAAAGTGATTTTTGATTCTGTTAATTTTCTCAAAACAGTAATTTTTGGAAGATGAAATTAAAAATGTTGTTAATTAAGTGTGTCTTGAATGAAAAATACCCATGTTTAAAAGTATAAAAATTGTATTAACCCTATTAAAGGACAGGTCTTTATGTTACAAAAATATTTCCATTGCATTAATCCAATCCAGATGTTGTGGAAGGACCTGAAGCAGCAGTTAATATGAGGAAACCACCAACATCCAGAGCTGAAGCTCTTCTGTACGGAGGGATGGATAAAATTCCTCCAAGCTGATGTGCAGGACTGATCAACAGTTACCAGAAATATTTAGTTGTAGTTATTGCTGCACAGGTGGGGTCACACCAGACACTGAAAGAAAAGGTTCACATACTTTTGCCACTCACAAATATGTAATATTGGATCATTTTCCTCAATAAATAAATGACCAGGTATAATATGTTTGTCTTGTTTGTTTATCTGGGTTCTCTTGATCTACTTTTAGGACTTGTGTGAAAATCTGATGATGTTTTAGGTCATATTTATGCAGAAATATAGAAAATTATAAAAAAAATTATAAACTTCACGAACTTTCAAGCACCACTGTATCTATACATACAATATAGTAGTGCAGGTTTATTTGAGGTTCCTAGTGTTTCTAAAGGTAAAATGAGACAGAGCTTTCAGTTATCTGGTCCTTCTGTTGTGGAACCAACTTCCAGTTCCTGTAAATGAGACAGACACCCTGCCTAATTAAGACTAGACTTAAGACTTCCCTTTTTGATAATCCTATAGTTAGGCTTGAAATCGGTTTCCTTAGTTATCCTCTAGGTATGTAATTTTAACTCGTTCTGGTATAAATTATTATGCCATAAATAAACTCCAGGACATCCTTGTAAAAGAGATTGATGATCTTAATGGATTTCGTCCTGGTAAAATAAAGGTATATAAAAAAACTGAATTAAAATAAAATCAAATTTCACACTTTTCAAGACTGTGTAGGAATGCTGTTTGTAGGAATATGTCTTTTTAAAGCGTTCACAAAAAGAGTTCTTTATAATTTCACCTGAACCAATGAGTATTACATGCAGTCATTCTTGGTGTCTATGAAATATGTGAGCCACTTTGAAATCATTGTGTAAAGTTGCAACCTACAAAGTTTGATGGTGGGTAAGCCTGACGAGCAGCAGTTCTCTATTCAACCTTCTTCTCCTACTTCCTGTAAAAACTGAAGCTGTGGTCCTGCAGATTCAGTTCCACAGTGTGGTTAGTAGTCATGTGACTTGGATAGACCAAAGCTGAGCGGCTTAGCATCAGGCTAAAACAGAAACGCTGTCTGTCTTTAAGAACAGTCTCACTGTGACGCAGTACTCAGGGAACAGAGTCATTAAATGCACGAGAGGCTGTAATGGCTCTTCTTGAAATAACTCCAGCATTTTAAAGATTGTTGCTCTCTGATGTGGACATTGATGTTATTTTTATTTGAAAGACTGCAGTGTGAAGGGACAACATGACAAAAGCTTCAACAATTGACAGAAGACTCATGACCTTTGATTTACAGCTACAGTGGCCAGTCAAATTCTCAGCAGCACTGATAATTACCAGTACACACAAAGATATGTTCAGTCAGTTATGGTGATGAAAGGGCGGTGAAGAAACATGAGCTGAATGAGTCATGAGTTTCTTGTCACTGCCTGTTTATGACTGAGTCACAACAGTTTTAATGTTAGTTGTTCACTGCTGATCCATGCCCAGAGTTAAATTCATTTTGAGATTTGTTCTGTGTGTAAACTTCCACAAAACACAGAACAGAAAGAAGCTTGCCAACACTGAAGTCTTCTTACCTGAGTCAGTGTATCCCTGAATGGCTTGTGAGTATTTCTCCAGTGCATCGGCAAACTGTCCATTTTTAAACAGCAGGTTTCCTTCATTCTTTAGCCGGGACAAATGTGGGGGTAGGGCTCCACATGGAACATCAAGATTGACAGTTTCTTCTGTTTTCCCCCTGCCTGTAATTCCCTTACTGTTCTGATCACCCGGCTTGGAAGCTGCCGATGCACTCTGGTTAGAACCGTTGGCCACATTCTCCTTTGACTCCTGTGGGACTTTGTACTTGTCTGAGCTGCCTCCTTTGCTTTTCCATTGTCCATGGTGGTGGGAGTTGCTGGACTCACTGTGTGGACCCCCGTCCCCTTTGCAGTGGGGCTTTTTTTGAGTGTTGCCCATGTCTCCCCTTTCAGCAGGAGCAGCAGAGCTCTCCTCCCCTCCCACAGGATGGCTGGGTTGAACCGGACAAGCTGGAGGGAGAGGGAGGGAGAGGTGAGGTAAGAGAGAGAGAGAGAGAGGAAGTACACTGACAGGAAGGAGTCAGTGATTGCATCACAGTTGGGGGTGGGGGAAGTTTGACACACACACACATCAAAGAGGGAGTTCCAGAATGAACTGAAAGCGCCTGATGGGGGAGGGGATTACCCTCATGCACATTATATCACATCACCCAAAGAGACAAGAGGAATTTCCTGTATTTATAGCACAACCCAGTGATATTTAAAGACAGAGTCTGTCTGCTGCCAGGAACTTTAAAGCTCACTCAGATGTCTGTGCAAATCATGATAGCTTTATCTAAGAATGTTGAGTCAGGTCCTCTGAACAGATTCTTCTTGTTGAAATGTTGCATCATTTATCCAGAAGACTTCTTCAGTCTGAGGCGCTGCAACAAACTCAGTCATATCAGCAGCACGTTCTCATAGTGGATCAACCAGTTTGCTGTGACAGCCAAAACTAGTTATTCACATGCAAAAGGAGGACCATCAGCCTAACGATCGATCAACAGTGCCCTAACAATAGATCGTTAGTGTCCTGATGACCGCTTGTGATACTAGCAATAACAGTATTGTAAGGTGATGGTTGAACACGGAGGTCTCCACCCCTGTTTAATGATGGACAGGTTCTTTTCACAAAGATGGCCTCCTTTACTCCTCTCTCAAACCATCGTTCCTCTCTATCCAGGATGTGAACATCTTCATCCCTGAAAGAGTGACTGCTGGCCTGGAGATGAGTGTAGACCACAGAATCCTGGCCTGATGATGTTGATCTTCTGTGCTGGGCCATCCTTTTGGCCAGTGGCTGTTTAGTTTCCCCGATGTAAGACTGATCACAGCCCTCCTGACACTGAACAGCATTCACAATATTACTCTGTTTGTGCCGGGGGACTGGATCTTTGGGATGAACCAGTCATTGCCGTAATATATATTTGGGGTTTAAACACCACAGGACATCATGTTTAGAAAATAAACGTCTCAGTTTCTCTGATACTCCCTCAACATTTGGAATGACCACTGGTCTGGGTCTGGGTTCCTCCTTTTCACCTGATGGCTGACTGGAGTCCTGTTTGGGTTTCTTCTCTGCTTTCAGGAAGGCCCAGTTAGGATATCCACATTGCTCTACAGCCTGTTTTGTGTAGGATTTCTCCTTCTGCCTGGCTTCTGAGTTAGTGGGGACACTGTCTGCTCTGTGGTACAGAGTCCTGATGACTCCTAACTTGTGCTCCAGGAGGTGAAGAGAGTCAAACTGCAAATACTGGTCTGTGTGGGTGGGTTTGCGGTACACCTCGGTTTGCAAATGTCCTCCATCAGAGACCGACACCTCACAATCCTCACAAACTAGTTTTGGCTGTCACCAGCAAACTGGTTGATCCACGATGAGGTGTTGCTTGTTGTTGTGTTGTTAACTGTTTGTTGCAGCTCCTCAGACTGAAGAAGTCCGAGTTCAAAATACAACCCTAAATCACAAAAAAGTTAAATCAAGTCATCTGGACAGATTCTTTTGGGTTGAAACAAAGTTAGAAAGTTGTGTAAAATGTAATTAAAAACAAACTGCAAAGATGTGCAAATCTCATAGACCTCTACTGTATTCTCAACGTAAACAGATCAAATGTTGAAACGAGGAAGTTGTGCCATTTTTTTCTTTAAAATTTAGAGGTAAATGTGAATTTTATGGCAAGTAATCGGAATGTACATCTACAAATGTTTAGCTTTTGGTCAAATGGTAAATGGTAAATGGACTGTACTTATATAACGCCTTTCTATCTTATTTCAAGATACTCAAATATATACTCAACCCAACTCAAGGTGACTACCTTAGTTAACTTACCATAAAAACACAAAAGATGGATATAACTCAGCCACAAACACTGACCTCAAATTTAGCGAGGTGAGTGAGACTGAAGCCAAGACATACTCGCCAAATATTTGTGCAAAATCTGTGTTTAAAATTTTCCTATTAACTATTTGGATTCAATTCAATTCAGTTTATTTATATAGCGCCAAGTCACAACAGAAGTCATCTCAAAGAGTCAACCCTGTTTGTTGGCAAAATATCACATGAACCACTGGACCGGTTTTTCTTTTAAACTTTCACAATGTAATCATTGGATATACATCTAAAACTCATAACTTTTAGGACTCAATAAGATGGTAAAAAATGCAAATAATAAAAAGCAAATGACTTCCCTTTAGTTTTTATGTCTGTGTGTGATAAAATTCATTGAGTTTGTGAGGTTTCAGTCTCACCAGCTTGTTGTCCTTTCTCTTCAAAATGGTTGCTATTTTCTTCTTCAACTTCCTGGATGAGGATTTTTCTGCCCTTTCGCTGCTCTGGTAGACATCCTGACAGCTTCTTCTCAATTTTAGACAGAAGTTGCTAAAACCACAAATTATTTAGGTGTGAACATGTATCAGTGGAAGGAATCAAGCTGATTCCTGTAAGCCAATAGAAACCAGGTTTGGTACCTGACCACCTAAATTTACTTGCCCTACAATGATGATGTTATATATTGTACAGTATGTTGCAAAACAAATGTCCTACACATACAAATACAAAGACACCTAGTGGACAAAAGGCCCACAGGCAGTTAGTGAGCACGCTTTACGTTACTTCTGTTACCTACAGTAGCTGCAGTATTGTGCGGCTCTTCCCTCAGCACCATCCTCAGGTCTTCAGAGGCCATTTGAAATTTGCCCATATGATTATAAACAGTAGCACGACGTAGCAGAGCTAAAAAATAAAAAAACACACAAACATTATGTATTTACTTGTATATCATTTTGACTAAAGTTATGACTCAGACGTGTAAACTTATTCTAATTACTAGAAGATTAAAGTAATATTGTAGTCATAAAAAATAAAAAGAAAGCACCTTTTTTATTTCCTGGCTGTAGCTCGAGCACTTGCTGACAGTCTCTCATGGCATCATGCCAGTGCTTCAGGTTGATCTCTGCCTGAGCCCGGTTGTTGTATGCACTGACTGTGGGAAGAATCGAAAGGCTTCTGCAATTGAATTAAAAAACAAACATTTTCAGTATAATACAGTTTTGTATCAGACCACTTCCAGTATCATTTGTTTAACAAAATTAGCATCGAACATACATAAATTAAAGGTCAAGCATACTTTGAATGACTGCATTGCTGCCTTTCATGTCAGAGTTTTAAATTAAAATTATCTGATGCTGAAAATAAATGAGTATAGCTGTTTTATAGTCAACTATAACCACATCAAATTTTAGCCCAATATATGTAAAATTGACTGTGTTATAGCCATTTTTATGTTAGCAGATGTTAATAAGCAGTGGAGGTGGTCTCCAGCTACAAGTATTTGGGTGTGCACCTGAAGGACAACCTCAACGGGAACAACAACACCACCAGCCTGATCAAGAAAGCTCATCAGAGACTCTACTTCCTCAGGCAGCTGACACGAGCTGGTCTGGGAAGCTCAGTCCTCACCTCCTTCTACAGGTGTGCAGTGGAGAGCATCCTGTGCTCCAGCATCAACGTGTGGCATGGAGGCTGCACAGCTGCAGAAAGAAAAGCTTTGCAGAGAGTGGTGAAGGCTGCACAGAAGATGTTGGAGTCAGCCTCCCCACCATCACAGACATCTACACCTCCAGATGCAGGAAGAGGGCCACCTGCATCATGAAGGACCACACTCACCCAGCACACACACTTTATGCCCCACTCCCCTCAGGAAGGAGGTTAAGGAGCATTAAGTGTAGAACCACTAGACTGAGGAACAGCCTCTACCCTGAGGCTGTTAGACTCATGAGTCTCTAACCCAAAAAAATCACTGTAATGCCACTTTAATTGGTGATATGTGACTTATCTGTGCTGCTGATTATCCATGCTGCTGATTTCTTGCCTTTAAGCTGCTGTATACCCATCTGCTCACAACAGACTCATGTTCAGGCAGCTGTTTAATACACCATATTATTTTACATTATTAGTGTTTAGTGTATCTCTTAGATCCTTTTATACTGTTTCTTTTTAGACTTTATATTTTTGGGATATAACTGGGACCCTGAGTACACAATTTCGTTCCACCTCATGTACCACATGTGATGTGAATGACAATAAAGAACCTTGAACTATGAATAAGCTGTGGAGGCCAAATGAAAGTGTCACGATTCACGCCTGTCTGATTTAAATTCTTTTCACTCTGTTCACTGCTTGGTGTCTGTGGACTCTTTTTCTTTTCTATCTTTCTCTTGTTGTTTGTTTTTTCT